TTTTTGGTTTTACAGGGGTTCACAGTTAAGAGTTTGCCTTAAGTCTCAAAAGATACTTTTTAAAATTGCACTAAATGCATTTTTCATTATAATATGATCATTTTGTGCTTCTATGTGGTGGTTGTGTTTTTAATTTTTATTTACTTATTTTATGAGTATGGTATTTTGTTTGCATGTATGTCTGTTCACCATGTGCATGCCTGATGCCTGTGAGGCCAGAAGAGGGGATGGGATTCCCTGGGGCTGGATTTACACATGGTTGTTAGCTACCTTGTTGGATTTTCAGTATAACTTTCTGGAATAAATGTGTTAAAACATACTTTTAAAAAAAGATTTTACATTTTTTAACTATGTGAGGGTGGGGTATATCATGTTAGTATGGGTGCCAGTGGACTCCAGAATAAGGCATGTGATCCCTGGAGCTGGAGTTAGAGGTGGTTGCTGCCTGCTGAAACATCTGTCTAGCCATCAGATTTCCATTGATCTTTTAAGATATAGCATCTTTTTTCTCATAGGGCTTGCTTTCATATAATACTGGTGGTAGACTGGTGGATGTTCATAACAGTTTGTAATTCATTTGATTAGGCTTTAGAATTTCAATTTCAGAAAAAGTTCCATATTCTTTCTCATAATTAAAATAATAACTAGGCAATTTTGACATCATATGGAAATTAATTTTTACCTCCATTTCTTTGCTGTGTTGCTTGTCAGAGATTATTAGTAGGGAAAAATAGTTTTTAAAAGCAAATGTTTAAAATTTTTAAATCCAATATTTAAATTATTTATATGCCACTTTTAGGGTTTAGATGAGTTAATGATGCAAAATGATAATATTTAAATTAATCTCCCATATAATTAAACTAACTTAAGGTAGTTGTTAACTTTGTAGGCATTTCTACTATCTTACATATGATTTAAGTTATAATATTCTGAAATATAAAATTCCCAAACATATAGGGTAAAGGAATTAGTCTAAAGGTTACTCTTGTGCTTTGACCAATAGTAACCCTTGTCAGCTTTCCAAGCACAGCACTTTAAAAGTGCCAGTGGCTCCCTCTAGTGGACATAGAGCCTGCTGCTTTTCTTTGATTTGGTTGTGTGGTGTATTTGTGTGTCTGTTTTATTGTTGTGGTTTTTGTGTTTGCTTTTTATAATGTTCTCATAAAATAAAGGTATGGTCTCATTACTGTGATATTTAGAAGTAAACTTTGATATATATATATTTGCATATATATGTGTGTGTGTATACACACACACACACATATATATATATATATATATATAAAAAAATAATGATATTTCAAATATGTGTCCTTGGTCAAATGACATTTTACATCTGTGTAAAACATGTTCAGGAATACTCCTTATAAACTAGCAAACTTGAGAAAGAGGGTTTTTTGTTTCTTGTATTTTTGCAGAACAGTGAAATGTGGGAATATTAAAGCAAATAATTTTGAAAAAGAATGGCATTCCTATGGTAACTTTGAATCCCAGGTTGGCAGTCTCAGGTAGAATTTGGTGTTTTCAAAATATTTATGAGTAGGTAGCTAAAGGCTATGAATTCAACTTCTTTCATGTGGGTGAGCAAGATTAAGAAAAAGACCAGCATTCCTTGAAAGGATTAGCCCTAAAACTACACTAATAAAAATAATACTGTATTGTGATTATAATTTTCCCCATTTCCATCTACCTCTACTATATTCTGCCCTCAAAAACTAGATATTTTAAATTAAAATTTGTATTGTTGCTTTTTCATATTCAAAATAATTAGTTACTGTTCCTTTAGAATTATTACTGGTTTCTTTCACAAAGTTTTTCTTTTCATATTAACATCTTTGTTGATAGATTTGACTTGAAATACATAACTAATTGAGCACTATGCATGTGTACTAAAGCGGCAGTCTAGCTAATCCTTTAGTATGTGACTGTTCTTGATACTCTGCAGCTCTCTTTTTTTGTTAAAACTATTGCAGTTATATATCTAGAGCAACGAACCTTTGTTTTTACATTGAATAACAATGCAATTGGAATTTGTTCACTGAATTTTCTTTTTTCTTAGACTGATTTCCATAATGTATTATAGAATTTATTTACTGGAAACTATGAGAGTTGAAACAGATACTCTGTTCATAGTGAACATCCATTTATTATCCATGAGTTAACATATATTGTGTTGGTATTATAATGGGTCTGTTTTATGTTTTCTTTGTGATAAAAATCAATAATGTAAGAAACAGTAAAGCATTTCTTGTTTTGATTTGTTGCAAGGTCTTCGAAAGCATCACTAACATTCACTTACACTGTACCAGACTTCTGGGTGTGAGCAAGTAAATGGGAAGAGCAGATGCATTTATCTACATTTCAAGGCCAAGTTGTTGAATTTTGGAGATTTTAAATGAAAATGTCTACAATCTATTTTAAGTATCTTTAAGTTGAACTGTAAATTGTAGAGGAGTGTATTGTATTTAATTTCTGCTTAGAAATGAATCCCACAAAGGTATCTGAGATGTTTAATATCTGAAAGTTTCTATATTTTTTGGCTGTTACAGAGAAATTTTTCCTATTTCTAATTGCAGTCCTTGTCAATTACTAAACCCAAACTATTTAAATGTAGAAATAATAAACATACACATTAGCATTTTGTAAAAAGAGAAGAAAGAAGTCAAGCTGCTTTAAATAAAAATGCCTCCAGAATACCTTTGCTGGAGGCCTTCAGCAGACTACAGGGTAAGAAGTCTTACTCTGTGAACTGTGATTGCTGAAATTGCAGGTCCCTTTTGGTGTGATTCTGTGATACTGAAATCAGCTTAAAGGTTTAAGAGTACATATACATTCTCAAATTACATCGAATTTACTCAGAGTTTGCATTTTGACAAATAGTCATTACACTGTACTCTGATATACCTCTCATTATAGTTTCATGCATGTATTTGTGTGTGTTGTTGTCATTGTTGTTTTATGAAGTACATACAAGAACTGTCTCAATAGAAAGGAAGGGAAGGGAAGGTAGAGGAGATAGGGAAGGAAAGTATAGTGAAAGAAATTTAGTGACTTCAATTAAAATGATATATAATACAGCTATTGTTCCTTTGCTTTCACTACTTACCTCTAAATATTAATGTTTGAAAAGCCTTTATGATATTCCTCCATGCAAACAAAGTACAGCTTTTAACTATAAATACCTGTCTAAAACTATAATAGCTGTAACATGATATTCCAGCAAATAATATGATACAGATGCCTGGATGTTTCAACAAAAGCATTTGATTTACTGTAATTTATTTTATTAGTAGATTTATTTATTCTGTTTGATTGGGTATGAGTGATTTGCTCGCATATAAATAAGTACGTGCACCACATGTGTGCCTGGTGCCCTTGAAGATCAGAAGAAAGTATTGGATTGCCTAAGACTGAAGTTACAGAGGGTTGTAAGCCACCAGGTGGGTGCTGAGAATCAACCTGGGTCTTCTGCAAAAGCAACAAGTGCTCTTACCACTAAGCCAGCTCTGCAGACATGATTTATTGTAATTGGATCCAAAACCTTTGGTTTCAGGGACTTGGAAATTTTTCAAATAGCTGACTTCTTTGACGATATTACTAGTAGTGCATTTGGTGGAGAACAGAATGTAAAATGAGGTGGGGGGGCTATTATGATAGTGATAGGACTATACACAAATACCCAGGAGTCCCATTTACCCTCCATGACATCATAATGGACTAGCAAAGTTGAACTGTCAAGCTAACTAAAAAAAAAGGACATTTACAAGGTCAAGTAGCAATTTTTAAATATAAGCTATTACAATTTAATGCTAAACCTATAATTATAATATGTAAGGAGTAAGGTTTTTTTCCTCGCGCCGCCAGTCTTGTCCCGCCACTGCGCCAGCCCCAAATAACGCACAGAGACTCTGTATTTGATATTATGCAGTTGGCCAGTTACTTGTTTCTTATCGCCTAGCTCTGTCTTAAGTATTAACCCATTTCTATGTATTTCCATGTGGTCTTACCAGCGAGAGGCGGCTGGCGGTTCTATTCTCTCCAGACTCTCCATCTTGACTCTCCTTACTCCTTCCTCTTTCTTCCTTGTTTCCTAGTCCCTCCTATCTTCCTTTCCTATTGGCTAACAGTGCTTTATTCATTAATCAGTATGAGAAACATATATTCATAATGGCATCTCCCATCAATAATATAATAAGAATGGTTGAAAATATAGAGATAGGGGCTGGAGAGATGGTTCATCAGATAAGAACACATAATATACTTCCAGAGGACCTGAGTTCAGTTTCCAGCACACTTGAGAGGCAGTGCACAACCACCACTCAAGGAGATTGGAAGCCTCTGGCCTTCGCGGGTACCTGAGCTCATGTGCACATACCCAAACAGCACATACATACACACACACACACACACACACACACACACACACACACACACACACTCAAAATAATAATACAAAATATTTTTAAGAAAGGAAATAAACCAGTCTGTGGTGGTGCATATTTATTCCCAGTGCTTGGGAGGCAGAGGCAGGTGTATCTGAGTGAGTTCAGGACAGCCAGGGTGGTTACACAGAGAAACTGTCTCAAAAAAAAAAAAAAAAAACCAAAAACAAAAAGGGGGGGGGGACAAATTGGAAATAATAGGAAAGTCTCACTGGAGCAGTATACTTAAGCTGTGTTAGGGTAAATGGCTTTGCCTCTGGAGAACAAGTATATTAACAGCTTCTCAAACAGCTCCACAGCATTTTCACCTTCCTCATTGAAGCCCTTCTCCAGTTTCTACTGACTATCCTCTTTCTTTATGAATTTGACCACCAGATCCCATTATTAACTTGTTATTAAAATAACAGAGAATTGAAAGATATTGTTTGCATCAGTGGATTGGCTATTTCTTTTGTAAATCCAAATTGAGAATTATTGTTATAATAATCTTACTGATTTTTGCATCCTCTTAAATATTTCTATTTATTTTTTTCATGTAGACTTTACTTTCTTTTGTAGACTGAATCAGGATATGGATCTGAGTCCAGCTTGCGTAGACATGGCTCAATGGTGTCACTGGTGTCTGGAGCAAGTGGCTATTCTGCTACATCCACATCTTCATTCAAGGTTTGTGATATGGTGCTCGAAGGTGATGTCATGTGAGTTTAGTATTGGATATTGTAGGTACAACTTAGGTGGTGTGTGTGTGTGTGTGTGTGTGTGTGTGTGTGTGTGTGTGTGTGTGTGTAACAATGACCATGTGGAACTCAGAGGACAATCAGTAGGATTGTTCTGTGCTTTACCACGTGGGTCTCAGGAGTAAACTCTACTTGTCAGGCTTGGCAGTAGGTGCCTTTATCTATCCTCTGAGTCATCTGACTAGCCCTCGATAGGTTTTTAAAAGAACCTTTACACAATGTAATTGGCTTGAAGTTGTTATAAATAAATTTTTAAGGGATGAAATCATGATACACACAAATATAAAATGAACACATGTGAGATTTTATCATCTTCATTCATTAGTGAGGTAAGTTACAATTTTACAGATTGGTTCAAAGGAGAATCTGGAAAATATTAAAATGAGTTACTGATGTAAAACTGACTAGCATCTGCAGATTAATAGTCAATGCCTGGAGGAATGTGGTTCAATGGTAGAGCACTTGGCTGGGGTTAATCACCAGCAATGCAAAAATAATCAGTGTTTCTGCACAAGTTCCTTTGTGTCTCTTGAAACAAAAATCATATTACACTATTTGATTTTTTTATTAGAAGACTTGTAAAATAACTCATATGCAATGAAAAGGAAAAACTTGTGCAGCCTGATACCATCTTCCCCTTGAGGTTCTCTTGACAATACTCATTAATACTATTGAACTACATCCAGTAATAATGCATTTTTTTGACCATTGCAAAGTCTGTCTGTGTCTCTTCACAGTGGTTAATAGGAAAGTGTTATGTGAGCAGATTATCAGGCAATATTGCTTTCCTGTTATCTATGGGTCTTAGTGTCAGGCCACTAGTTAAACCCTCTTCAAGCTTGTTCCTAAAAATACTACTTTAAAATTCACAACTCTAATTATCCCATTCCCTCAACGTTAGGATGCCAACCTAAAAGGTGACTAAATATCATAGGGACAACAGTCCAGGTTCAGGTTTGCTTTACTTGACTCACACACCCTCTCCTCTGTGTTTTGCAGAAAGGACACAGTTTACGGGAGAAATTGGCTGAAATGGAAACTTTTAGAGACATCTTATGTAGACAAGTTGATACTCTCCAAAAGTACTTTGATGTCTGCGCTGATGCTGTCTCCAAGGATGAACTTCAAAGGGATAAAGGTTTATTAAACTATTAGCACTATATTTACTTATTGGTTTCATTCATCCAGGTCCCACTACCTCTAGAGTGGTGAGACCAGCTGTCAATGAAATCAGATGACTTAGAAGTAATGTGGCTTTTGAATTTAAATAATGACATCATGGGAAGACAGAATGTGTCCATTCATTTCTGATATATTGGGTTCATGATCGCCTATATGATTCAAATCATCATTGAGCAACTTTTTCAGTACCCAAACATTTCTAAGGTACCAGTGAATTAAATATTTCTCTCCAACTACTGTAATTTCTTTGATGGCTACTTTAGGGATTATGGTTTGCATATGTAACCTACCACAAGTATCCCTTCAAAATAATACCACAGTAGCCTCCATAATGCCCAGTCCCTGATGGGAAGGCCCAGCCTAGAAGCTTGCAGAGCATCAGACAATTTGTTGAAAGGTCACGTGAGTAATGTTATCATGAGTTCAAGCTGTAGACAGTCACAAGGACAAGCCATACATGTAGCAAAATACGTTTTTCTATTGAGGCATATAAAGGATAGTTTAAACATTTAATTGTAAAATAACATCAGCAAGCAATATTAACTGCAAAACTTTTGTCCATTGCCTTCTCAAATACTTCTTTATCATCTAGCTGATATTTCCCTGTTTTATATCTACAATTATACACATTTTCACACTCAAGGCTAACTAACCATACTTTACTTCTTTATCATCTGACTGATATTTTCCTGTTTCCTGTCTACAATTATATACAGTTTTACTCCTGATGTTCACTCTCTGCACTTTACTTCTTTTATCCAAGCGGTCTCTTCACATTTATACACCCACGGTGTCTATTCCTCTGTAGTGTCCTTCACCTCTGTCCCCCGTACTCAGTTCCACATTCGGCACCATATGTCAGCACTGTCTGTATGGGCTTACATTGCTGTGCCATATGTCCATCACTTATGTTCCCCGTACTCAGCCCCTCATTCGGGCGCCATATGTCTTTGTGGGGCTGCAATCAGAACCAGCCAAGCAGCCCCAAGTTCATACCTGAGTGGGGGGGTGGGTCTGTGGATGAGGGAAAGGCTAGCTATAAATTATAAAGAAAAGACAGACAAAGAATAAAAGTCAGGAGGACAGATCAGTCAATACTGAAATGCCACAAGTTTTTCACCATTCCTATATACATTAACAAAAAAGGGGAACATGGTATCACGTATACAGGGACAAATGGACTTTTCTTCGTCCTTATTCTAAGGATTCAGTAACCACACCTTAGATTCAACTTCTTGTTCCCTAGCCTTGAAGGTCAGGAGTAGCCACACCTCAGATTCAGGTCTGTTGTTGTTTAGAATAAGACAGCCAAACACCCTACTATAGCCACACCTTTGACCTTTAGGTCTTATGATTTGCGGAGGACAATTTTGAACTCTCTGTCCTTGTGCCAAGATAGAGTGCAGCCATCTTTATGGGCACTGACTTGAAAGTCATCATTGTAACATTTGGCAGAGAACTAACTTAAGAATAGTTACATTGTGACTTCACTGGCTAATGTAAATGAATGTTCTCAGAGGACAAAAGTACTAAGTAAATTGATGTAAAGAAATAGTACCAGATTTCATTTATTTGATAACATATATACTTGTGAAAAGCTAATGTAAAACCTAAAACTTTAGTTTTTTTTTTCATATTAATGCCTTCTATGAAAAGCTATAGTGCAACAGTATACCACATTAATGGATTTCTTAGAATTTACCGTATATCTTATCATTGAACAGGTAAAAATTAATAGAATCTGAATACATGTTTAATATTGGCACAAAAGTATATTGAAGACTTGGATAAAAATGAAAAAAAAATGTCAGTGATATCATTTGGCTATATAGAAATCAATACACAATGTTACTCAGTAGTAATGGCTTGTGATTTGAAAATATGAGTCCTCAAAAGATAATACAGGGTAAATATCCCTGTTCACAAAAGTTGTTACTAGGGTAGGGGAGATGGCTCTCAGTTGGTAAAGTCCTTGCTTCACAGGCATGAGGGCCTGAGTTGGGACTCAATAACCATATAAAAAGCCAAGCCAGAGAGATTCAGTTACACACAAAGTTGTGTGTGTATCTGTATGCCTAATCCATAGAGGGCAAAGACAAATGGGTCCCTTGAACTCATTGGCCAGCCAGTCTGGTTAACCTGTAAGTACTTGGTTCAGTGATAAACCTTGTCTGAAAAGATAAGGGAGAAAGCAGTAGTAGAAGATGTCTGACATTGACCTCTGGCCTCCACATATGCACATGTGTGTGTTTGCTCACACATACACACACACACACACACACACACACACACACACACACACACACAATAAAATGCTTGATATCAGAAGTATTTGGGGCTTATTTTAAATTGTAAAATATATGCATAGATAAAGTGAGAAGTCTTTGGAAGAGAATCCTGGTTGGACAGAAAATTTATGTTGTATATATACTTTGCACATATAATGTAAAGATAATTTTATGTAATATTTTTAGGATACATGGGGTCAGGAACTTTCAACTTGTTGCATCTTGTTAGCACTCACTAAGTTTTGAATTTTGGAGGATATGGGATTTCAAGTACCCATATTAAAAATGTAAAATAAAGAGGCCATGACAGAGGGTAGAGCAAGGGAGTCAGGAGTCAGTGCTGGTCCTGTCTCAAAATTAAAGGGATCATTAAAAAGCACACAACTCTAACTAATAAAGGAAAACTTTTAATGCGGTGGCTCACTTAGAAGTTCTGAGATTAAGTCCGTTGTCATCATGATGGGATATGGCGGCATGCATGCAGACATGGTGCTGGAGAAGTAGCTGAGAGTCCTGAATCTTACAGCAACAGGAGGTGGTCTGAGACACTGGGCAGTATCTTGAGCATTTATGAAACGTCAAAGCCCGCTTCCCCATGACACACTTCCTCCAACAAGACCACACCTACTCCATTCCACAAGGCCACACCTCCTAATAGTGTCACTCCTTTTGGGGGCAATTTTCTTTTAAATCACAAAGACTAAAGGATAAAATAAATTATAACTCAATAACCATCTCTATTTCACATGTAACAATCAATATATTTTTAAAGTAACATATTTAATATTCTACAACATGGTTATTAAGCATATTTTGATAATCAGTAAAAACACAAAAGATAAGAGTTTATTCTCAATTTAACATAATTGAATAAACCAGTTTTCATTGTACTATCTTTAAATATTTTTTATTTAGTGGTAGAAGATGATGAGGATGACTTCCCTACAACTCGTTCTGATGGAGATTTCTTGCACAATACCAATGGTAATAAGGAAAAATGTAAGTAATACCTTTTCTCCCTTGATTGAGTGGAATATATTTTGTGAGGTTATATAATACCTATATGTGAAAGAATAATTCTTGATTTATTTTTAAAAGCAATGGAACCCCTAGAATCCAAAGTTTATATATCTTTGAAGAAAAGCCTTGTAGGTAAAATATACATCCTGGTATCATATAATAATGGTTTGCTATCTAGCAAAGGCTCATTCTAAATTCCAAATATTAACCTCATTTCATTAATATTGGCAAAGTTAGTTGCAAGTACTGAAAAATTTTATTCTTAGGGGTTGGAAAGTACTGTTACGGAGTTTGATTTCAATGTTTCATTTGAATGTAACTTCTCCCTGTTTAATGTCTTGTTCTCCACTTGATAAACTGAAACTCTTTGATCCCAGGTCCTCTAGAAGAGCAGTCAGTGCTCTTAACCCCTGAACCATCTCTCTAGCACCCAGCCTGCTTTCTTGCCGAATCTAGGACCACCACCAGCCCATGGATGGCACCCACAATGGCTTGAGTCCCATTGATCACTAATTAAGAAAATGTTTTATAGGCCTGCCTATGGAGGAGTTAATTTCTTAATTGAGGTTCCCACCTCTCAGATAACTTTAGCTTGTGTCAAAACTATCCAGCAAGGCTCCCTCAGTAAAGCCTTCTGCATAAGCATGAGGACCTGCTTGACCCTCAGCACTGAGGAAGGCACAGCGGTTTGCACTTATAATTCCAGCACTGAGGAGGCAGTCGGAAAAGTTCTCTGTGGCGTGTTAGTTACTCAATCCAGGCAAATCAGTGAGCTCTAGGTTTAGTGAGAGACTTTGTCTCAGAAAATAAGGTAGAAAGCAACTGAGTAAGGCAGACAACGTTGAACCCTGTACTACACATCTATCATGCATGTGTACCTGCACACATTATACACACAAACATTGTTACAGACATACAAAGTAAATAGAATTGTATGTAGTGACTTTTGAGCTCTGACTGTGTCACTCTTCAGCAACTTTAATATCAAGCTATTTGCTTGGTAAGTTTACATACTGAAAGATGCAACCGGTGCCCCTTTCTCATATCCTGTTCTAATAGACATAACATCCTGACATAAAATCAGAAGACAGCACTTAGAGAGAACTGAATAGTCATAGAGAAAACATCTGCAAGGAGAGCTGTGTGGATACCACCATCAGAAAGCTGACCCAAGATCACCCTTCAGATCCGCTAGTTAAAAGGCTTACTAACTAGCTCCTTTAGTGTCTAACCTATAAGTATAGAGATTTCTGGGTGTTTATAGATATATATGAGGTCTCTATACATTTGAAGACAGGCTCCTACCTAAAAGGCAGTGACTAACACACAGAAACTAGATAAACTCAGACAAAGCAGGAAGTTATAATGTCTTCAATAAAAAAAAAAAAAAAAACTCATCCAAATTTGAGTCTGTTTGCAGATGTTATCACATCTACAAACAAATTTTAGTATGATCTGTACAAAGAAAATTTTAGAGTTTGGGAGTATAGCTCAAGGGCAGAGCATTGGTCTAGTATGTACAAGGCCCTGGATTTAAGTCCCACGCTGCAAAAAGAAAAGTTTTTAAAGAAAAATTATAACAACTCCATTAAGAACTATTAGAACTATAAATGAATGAGCAAGCAAGATATAAAACCAATATAAAATATCAGTTATATTTATATGTGCTATTAACAATATGAAATGTGTATGCATGTGTGTGTGATGATATATTATTTATGGTTTACTAAAGATTGTCTGAAATTTCAGAAAGCAAAGCCAGCCATACTAGTTAGCTGTAGAAACCAGGTAGTGGTGGCACACACCTTTAATCCCAGTACTTAGTAGATAGGCAGATGGATCTTTCTGAGTTCAAGGCCACCCTGGCCTACACAAGAGTAAAGAGTAACAGAGCTCACATCTTTGGTCATAGCACTTAGGATCACACACCTTTAATCCCAGCACTAGGGAGGTGGAAACAAAATGATATGGCTGGGCAGAGAAAGGAATATAAAGAGGAGACAGGAATTCAGAGCTTTTGCCTCTGAGGATTGATGGGGACAGGATTACCTTTTCAGCTTGGTAGAGGTAAGATCTACTGATTTGGCTGCTTTGTTTCTCTGACCTTCAGCTTAGAGCTTGAACCCCAATGTCTGTCTCTGAGTTATTTATTTTCCATGTTGCATGTGTGTGCATATGTGTACATGTACATGAGCAGGCTTGGGTCGGAAGTGGGCATTGAATGCCATGGATCGAGACTTCTAGACAATTGTGGATACTAAGAACTGAATGAACTCTGAGCCTCTGAAAAACAGGAGGGTCTCTTAACTGCTGAGCCAAGGTCTTACTGTATAGCCCTGTGTTAACTATTTAGCCTTGGCTGACCTGGAGCTCACTATGTAGAATAGACTGAACCAAACTCACAGCAATACACCTTCCTCAGCCTTCTGTGTACTGGGATTAAAGGTAGGGTGTGTGTGTGTGTGTGTGTGTGTGTGTGTGTGTGTGTGTGTGTGTGTGTGTGTTTCCACACCCAGCATGAATCTTTTGTTTGAGAGATGCATTGATTAGCTTTGTAGCCCCAAAACTTACCTTGAACTCATTTTACCCCAAGTGCTAAAAGTATGGCCTGAACCACTATGCCCCCCAGCACATGGATAAACCTTGAAAATGTGTTAGGTAGAACATTGTCACACACTGCTTTTATGTGTATTATATGATATATTGTAGAGGTAGAAAATAGGTCAGCAGTCACTCAGAACCTAGGATTTGAGGAAAATAGTAGCAATTTCTAGTAGACTGAAAACAAATGAATTTTATTATGAGTGAATTTTATGGGAAGTTTATCTCAAAGCCATTTTTTTTTTTTAAAAAAAAAAAACAAAACAAAACTAAATATGACTGGAGGTAAAGCTTGGTGGTAGGAAATTTGCCTTGCATACACAAAGCCCCAAGTAATATCCAGCAGAGCCAAAATAAATGAATATGATTGTATTTTCCAGTATTTAAGTGAACTCCTATAGTCTTTTGATTGGCTTGTGTAATTTAAGATTCCTAGTTGATAATATGTGTGTGTCAGGAGTTGATTTCTTCTTATTGCTGGGTGTTATTCATTGTATGGATACATTGTGATTTGCTTATCCATTGATGAGCAATCTGGTTGTTTATGTTTGGGGATATTATAAATAAAGCTACTATAAACATTCATACTAAGGCCTTTATGGGCATATGCTTTATTTCTTAGGGCTAAATGCCTGTGCATAGAATCTCAAAATTAAATGGTAGATAGATTTTTAACTTTTAAAGATGTGCAAGGTTTCTCTTGTGGTTTTAATTGGGCATTTCTCTGGGAAGTAAGCATCTTCTTATATGCTTACTTGCATTCTCTTCTTTGTTGAAATGTAGTCACATCTTTTGTTCTTTGCTCCACCCACTTTTTTCCCCTCAGTGTTGGGGCATCAAACTCAGAGCTTTGTCCATGTAGCTACATTCCACTCCTAACCCCCAGTCTCTGTGGGCTATTTTGAGTTTTATAATTGTTTACTTTCTCAATGTACTGTAGTTTTAGATTCCTTGATAGTTGTAGATATAAGTCCATGATGTATGTATGCCATTCATTTAATCTTTTTGTGGCTTATCTTTTTAACAATGTCTACAAGAGCAACAGTTTTAAATTTTGATTGACTACTTTATAATTTTGCCCTTGATTCTTGTTGTCACAACTACAAACAAGACTTTTAAGTCAAGAGTGTCATTCTTTCCTTGTAAATGTTTTAGCTGAATGACTATATACTAGCTATAGAATAAGATATTTCCCCTTTTTGTATTTTAGGATTACTTAAGATCATTTAATACAATGGCTAACCACAAATTAAAATTGTAGAGGTAAACATAAAAGTAATTTAATATGTGAATTGGTCTTAAATATTTTAAATTTCATATTGTTTTGGTAAATTCGGTAGTTAATTTTGGTATAGTTTTAAAATTGTAGACTTTTTAAAATTAAGGTATCTCAACATGCTCAGACATGTCCAAATGTCATTTTGAGTATCACTCCTCCTACTGGACTCTCTAGGTACAGCACAGCAAATGGGTTCAGGAAACAGAATCTAGAAAATGCCTCAAAGCTTTGCTCACAGCACAGTAGGGTTTTAAATGATGTCCACAGGAAGAAAGGTACAATCCAAAACCTTATTCTGATTTGCTAGTTTTATAAATACTTTGCTAATCTTAAAGTGGTGAGATTATTTCATTTGAATGATTTTCTGTGAATAACTTTCTTTTTCAGTGTTTCCACATGTAACCCCCAAAGGAATTAATGGTATAGACTTTAAAGGGGAAGCGATAACTTTTAAAGCAACTACTGCTGGAATCCTTGCTACACTTTCTCATTGTATTGAATTAATGGTAAAACGGGAAGAGAGCTGGCAAAAAAGACACGATAAGGTAAGAATATAATTTCTCTTCATTTTAAAAATAACATTTTAAATTGTATGTTCATTGAATTTCTGAGAGGAAGGACCTCTAGCTGCATAAAAGTATCAGGAACTTTTATTTTGCCACTTGATCAGAATCTTCAACTCATTATTTACCAATGATTTGTTCAGTTAATATGTAACATGTTTTCTTGATTACATTTAATATAAAATTCTTTAAATATTTGTATGATTATTTGGTTTACACATACATTTTTCATTACTCTCTTTTAGTGTATAAAGTTTGGGTGTATGTAAGTTATGTGAACTGACTTGAAGAGTGATTTATAAAGTTAAATATTTACTTGTTACATTCATAGCCATTATGTTTTCCCTGGTCACTGTGATAAAATTTAACATACATTATATTGTTCAAATAATTGCCCCATGCTCTATCTTCCCACCTTCATTTAGTCATCAGCATTGATAACAATATTATAACACAAATTTCTAGCTTTTAATGTGAACTATGGCTCACTGAATTTGTGTAGTAGGGAAACTTCTGTTTAAAAATCTAACATTTGTAAAATAACCAAGTGCTAAAATTAAATCACACCTTAGAAAGTCTAGGTCTGGCTTACACTATCGTTTTTGAAGGAACTGAATCAAGGACATGTCCAAAGGTACTAGGCAGCAAAGCTGAAGCAGATTTTCCTGCTCTGGGTGTGTCTGCTCTAACCTGCCAGGATGTCCGTCAGTCAGATTCAGATTCGCATTCATGAGAAATGTCACTACTTACAGTGTTTGAAGGTCTTTAGTTTGAGCAGGACACTAAATAAAGCAGCAAGAGCTGTTTTTACCACTACTATGATACAGGATTGAAACAGCACTGTGTATTTAAAAGAGTTCTCATGCTTTAGAAGAGTTCTCAAGCACAGGCTAGAACTTGGCAGTATGCAAACCTTTACCTCGTACACATGTTCCAAGACTCCATGGATGCAAAATCACAAATAATATAAAATTCCTTATGCACTATTTCTATAGATTCCTGCCTATGGTAAAATTTAATTTATAAATTAGGCCCAATAAAAATGATGAAGTCAGTATTGATAATTCATGGGAAATTGTTTATCAGTAAATATTTTAGGTAATTCATCAAATCAGGAAAGAAGGCACAATGACAATGTGATTTTATTGATGCTATTTCCTTCAAAAGTGTTCTCATGCCCTCTGTAAGCTAGGAATAGGGAAATAATAAACAGGAAACAGTCCCTCAAGAAGCTTATACTCTATAGAGCACATTAGATATGTGTTGATAGTAACAGTTATATGATAGAATTGTTTATGTTTTTTAAACTTAAAATGTTCACTCAAGTATTCTTTAGCCACATTATTATTTATGGTTATCTATAATAACAATCCTTTCTTTTTTAGAAATGTACTTATTGCTAGCCTGGCATGCTCAGGAAGACTAAAATTCCAAATTTAAATAAATGTAATTAATATTACTAAGAAAAAAATGTGTTTATTGACAATAAGGTCTCCTAGCTTCAATTTGGATAGGATACTTGTAAGCAGCTAGCAGAGAGAGAAAGAGAGAGACTTTAATTTATCCATTAAATTAGCCCAAGTGTCTAAACTTGAAAATACTTGAAGTGAGATAGTGATGGTACTCTATATTACATTAGATTTGATTCAGTGACCCATGTTGTGTCAGGAAGGTTCTGTTTGGGCCAGCCTCTAAGTTTTTGTCTTGAATCTTTAACACTGTTGGTTCTATCTATAAAATGGAAGAGTTAAAATAGGTTAGCAGTCTTTTTCAATCCTAAAATACAGTTTTGACCAGCAATAAGAATGATAAACCTCTTTTAAAATTTAGTATTGACTGCTATCACCTATTAAAAATTGAGTTCTTAAAAAAAAAAAAAAAAAAGAGTTCTTGTATTCCTGATGTTCAGTGCTTGCTTTTTTCCCTCCACAACAATAAATAATGGTGTCAGCTGGCGCTAAGTACAGGAGTCTGCAGCCACCGTTTCTCTGGTGCTGATTTATCTTAAGTTTAGACATGGGCCATTACTTTAGTATTTCTTAACCCCCTCAGAACTCAGTGTTCACACAGTAATTTTAACAATGATTCAGATAGTAGCTTCAGTGTAATGTATATCCCACAGGTAGAGGAACATTGTATTTTTCACGAGTAGCTTTTTTTTTGTTTTGTTTTGTTTTGTTTTGTTGTTGTTGTTGTTTTTTTTTTTTTTTTTTTTTTTTTGGTCAAATTATACAATTTCACAGAAATTGGCCTTGTCTTTTTATGGTAATTAAAATGCTCACTAAGTCAGTTTCTTTTTCTCTCTCCCCAAATCTGCTTAGGAAATGGAGAAGAGAAGACGATTAGAGGAAGCATACAAGAATGCAATGGCAGAACTTAAGAAGAAACCCCGTTTTGGAGGGCCTGATTATGAAGTATGGACTTAGATCGGAGGACCACATCTATCACAGAAGTGGCCTTTAATACTTTTATAACCTTTAAATGTTCTAATATGTAATTGTTTCTTAGGGTTAACTTAATAATGTATATAATAAATGCCAAACTTTTTCTAAAAAAGATTCTTTTTACCATCTATGAAGCTTTATACATGTTTTTTAAAGACCCCCAGTATTTTAAAAGTCTTGCTGAGCCAGACATATTGGTTCGTGCCTGTAATTCCAGCACCAGAGAGGCTAAGGCAGGAGGCTCACTATGAGCTACAAGAGTAGAGTAAGAGTCTATTTCAAAATCCTTAGTGATTTGCGATTTGCTGTATGAAAGTTTTAAGCTTCCTTATAATGAATCTTTCTTTTGCCACACTTAGTAAATAATTATTTATACTTAATGGTTTCTTCTAAATATATTTAATGCATTCTGGATTTTATTATTGTTATGTTTTTGTTTTTATATGTTGTTTTGAGACCATGCTTCTTACAGCCTAGGCTGGCCTTGAACTCCTAACTTCCTGACTCTGCTCCTTCCTCTGCCTCTAAGATTACAGCTGTGTGCCACCATACCCAATGCATTTGAGTTTTTAAAATTATGATAGAACATGGAAATCTATCTTTTACTCCAGTGTCATTTGTTGAATAGTCTTTTTTAATATTTAAAAATTTATTTCATTTTACCTTTTTTATGTTGGGCACTATTTTGACTGCATATACACACATGTACTCCACATGCATTCCTGGTGTCCATGAATTCTTAAAAGCATATCAGGTCCCCTGAAACTGGAGTTTCAGTTGGTTGTGAGCCACAATGTGGGTGCTGAGAACTGCACCTGGTCCTCTGTAAGAGCAGCTAATGCTCTTACACACTGAGCCATCTCTCCAACCCTGTGTATTGAGTATTCTTACTCTATTTAAAGTGCACCCTCCTCGTTTTTTTCTTAATGAAAAATAAATGGACCAGCCTTGGCAGCCTGAAACCCCAGTATTAGAGAGTTAGTAGCAAGAAGATGAGTTTAAGGCCACATTGGGCTACATGTGACTCTGTCTCAAATAAATGTTTTTAAATATGTAACTATATTCCAATTTTTTAATTCTAAACTGAACAGTCCTCAGCAAAGGAGTGTAATTAATTGGTGGAATGCTCACCTAGCATATATCAGATCCCAAGTTCATCTTGGCATTATAAAAGCAAACAAAAATAAGAAAATATAAAGTTCCCAAGTAAACTATTATCTGTCTTTATACTTTTCATCATTCTTTTTGAAGTTTTAAGCTAATTTTCCTTGATAGCTATGTGTGGGGGCAGGTATGGTGGCTAGAGGTTGACATGTGTCTTCTGTCCATCTCTACTTCATATTTGGACAGAGTTTCTCACTGAAAATATATATATATATGTATATATATATGTGATATATAATATATATGATGAGCTATTTAATTATAATACTCATGATTTGGGGGTTGCCACTATGGTTAATACTTGCTTCCTGATCCATAAATATTTGCTCAACAAATGTGTATTAGGTCAGTTTTCAACTTTCTCCTCTCAGAAGTAATACCAGAGTTGTCAGTGTTTCTGTTCCTTTAAATAAATTAAATAGTTGCTGTTTGTTTCCTGTCTGTTATCTAGGAAGGTCCGAACAGTCTGATTAACGAGGAGGAGTTCTTTGATGCTGTTGAAGCTGCTCTTGACAGACAAGATAAAATAGAGGAACAGGTACATCTACTCGCATTCCAAACACCACAGGCTTTTCTTAATGTGTTTTATAGAATCAGAAAACTAAATGTAACCAAAGTATTAACTATCCTAAGTGTTAAAGAATTTTTGTGAATCAGTTCCTTTACATTTTAATTTCCAAACAAAAAAGCCAATAATTAGTCAAAAGAGGTATACGTAGTTAATATGAACTTAAATTGAAATGTCTTGCCTACTACTTTATTACTATTAAAGAATTCAGCCTTAACTATTCTGATATCAAGAGTTTCTCTAAATGTCGCCTCAAATACCATCAGAGTTCACGGGCGTCAAGATTTTGTTTTTAGCGATAGTGCCATCCAGCTCTCTTACTGCCTTCACCTTCACTTCTCTCTCACCATTACTTTGCTTAGTCTTTTGTAGTCATTGCTGAAGTCACAGCATTTATACCCAGCTCCTTTCATGGAAATAGACTGAAAGAACTTTTTAAATGTGTAAACTACAGCTTTAAGATTAATTTGATTTCTGGCTATTACAATTCAGTTATCATATTTTACCACCAGATGATATTAAGAGTAAATTGTACTTACTCATTCTCTCTTTGGCTCCCTGCCTTCAAAGCTGTTTCATTTGTAATAGAACTGCCTCCTGAGGCAAATGTGACTATCCTGGATGGGGAGGGTCAATTTGCTAGACTAAGTAGCCAGGAGTAACTCCTTCATGATACCTAAGCTGTTTCTCTTATTTTTTCTATATATATTTAAGTCGGTGATTTAAAAGTTCATTCCATATTAACCTGTAAAGTTTAGTGCTTATTTGTTTTTGTTTGTTTGTTTGTTTTTACTCAAAAGATGCTACACTGCAGTCAGTTAAGAGTGGAAACTTCTAATTCCCAATTAATATGTGCTTTTGAAAGCCTAAAGTAGTTCTTAGAAGCCTGAAGTACAACCTGAAGTAGTATCATGTTATTGTTGTTTGTTTTCTAGAATGTGTTAGTTTGGGAATAATAGTGAAGCCAGCCTTTTTCTTTATTTTATATCTCTGTCAATGTGGCAAAGATAGAAATGGTGTGAAAATACTATAAAGTAGTGATCATCGGTGATCCATAGGAACATTTCATGCATTCAAATCATTTCCCTCTCTGTTCTTTGTCCATGATCTTCAGCATTTCAACAAAGACGCTGTAGTTTACATTATTTGCAAACAAAGTAGGATATACATGAACAGCATTGAATAGAAATTACCCTGTCTAGTGTGCAGTTAAAAGATGAGTGCAAACAAATACAGCAGTACATTACTTTTAATAAATACTTATTTGAATGTGTGAAAAGAAGTCAGATAAACTGTAGAAGAGGTAGGAAGTCAAGTGTCAGGTTAGCAGGAGTTAGATACTGAGATAAAGCAGACTGCCTTCATGGAAAGGGGATAGAAACACATACATGAAATGATCTTAAGAACTCAGACGGGAAGCAAACAATGATACTGGTTCTGATAATGTCAATCTGTAGACCAGATCTACTGGTCCTGGATGCAGCTGAATTATTGAAATGGTTTGACCAGAGTTTAGATAAAAGAAATTTGGCAGTAATACTAACCTTGACTCATGAAAATTGATACTGACCAAGTAGTAGGTGAGTGGGTTCTGGCTGGGAGCAGTAGAAACACTTTTTCCCTGATCTAATGCAGTATCTGTAAAGTAGAAAGAAACCAATGTGGGATCTCTGAAGTGTATGTCGTGATTGAACGTACTGTGTCTGTAGAGTAGCTTCCTAATTCAGTAATTATTGCTCACGCGTTTACTAATAACTGCTGTTAGTTTCAGGTTGTAGAAGCCATTTGTAGGCTGCAAAATAGACTTCAAAAGCATCTCATGTTAGCATGTTTTTCTTAGTCACAGAGCGAGAAGGTCAGGTTACACTGGCCTACACCTTTGCCATCTGGAGATGCCTTTTCTTCTGTTGGAACCCATAGATTTGTACAAAAGGTAAGAATGGCAGTTTACTGAAAGAATGCCTGCATTCCTTACTGTTCGTGGTACAATCCTGTAGTATAAATTTTCTCGTCTCTTCATGAATTTAATAGTAAGTTTTTTTTTTTGTTTTTTTTTTTTTACTGTTATACTTCCTATCCATTCTCCAAAACAACTTATAAATCATGTTGTGAACATACATGCTCTATTTTTTTACTAGTAGTGAAATGGAAGGGTGAGGATAGGGAGTGGATAGCGGGAAATAGTTACTACAGTGCAGCAGTCAAATTGCTTCTTTCGTTGTGGTTAAGTTCTTTGCACTTTTGGACCTCATTCTTTTTGGAATGAGTTTAGAGCATAATACATAATAGGTGTGTGAAGTCAGCACTTGCTGCTGTGCCTGTTTCATATAGTGCTTTGTTTTCTCTTTCTTTATCTTGTGTTTGCAAGTTGGTACTGAATGCTCTGTTGTGCCTTTGTTCTGATTACTTGGTTTTTTCTTTGTCTGTCTCTGGTAGCCCTATAGTCGCTCTTCCTCCATGTCTTCCATTGATCTAGTCAGTGCCTCTGACGATGTTCACAGATTCAGCTCCCAGGTACTGTACATATATATAGAGTGGACTTGAGTCTTTCTTGCTGTATTTCTGCTTGCTTGCCCAGTTCTTAGCAATCTATTGATTGGGCCACTTGTTTTGGTTTTGAATTTTAAATAGTCACAAACATTAAAAAGGCTTTTCTTAACTTATAATTCTCCTTTGTCAGTATTGCATGTGCCTTTTATGTTGTATCCTCTACTATGCTTGGAATTTTATCTTAAGGAAGATAGTACTCAGAGAAAATTTTCAATTGAATTAAAATATATATAAGTAACCTGAGTTTTCATTCATCATGTAATGACTGTATTTCTCCAGGTTCAACAGCCCTTGTGGACAGGGATTATAGGATATGCTATATCATAAAAGTAGATTTTAACAGTCTCACTTTTGTTCTAATTTCAAATGTCTCAATGATGTTTAGCAAAGAAATAATTTTAATAAAGGTCATCTCATTACTGTTAATACTAAATTCATTGAGCAGTCTATTTTTTCTTCAAATTACCTGTGACTACTATAGATTAATATCACTGTATATCTGCTAAATCTTTAGGAGTTAGTTCTACGTTTATTTTTCTCATCACTAAGGGATTGGGAATTTAAGATAGAAACTGAATGTGCAGTCTCTGCCCTCAAAATAAGATTAGTTTACCAGAGGAAATGGGTTTTTTTTTTTTTTTTAGTGTATACATTGTTTAAGCACTTTTTGTTTCTGCTTTCATAGTTCTGGAGATTAATCCCATAGCCTTAACATGCTAGGCAGTCTCTGTGCTGCAACTCAGCTTTGTTTCCAGTCCTTAGAAACTTTTAAGGTTTTTAAATTTTCAAATCTTTGCCATTCAGTGTTGTATTTTTGTGGGCGTTTTTTTTTTTTTTTTTTTTTTTTTTGGATTATAGTATGTTACAAATCTGAGCTGTGTAGTCACAGGGACTGGGTGTAAATACTGCCTGTGTCATTTAGGTAAGCTGTGTAGCTTTTATGTACATAGCTTCTGTGATTTAGCCAGAATCTGGCCTTTTTTCCAGCATTCTTATAACATGACTGACTTGAGCTGACCAGACTGACTGTATTTCTTTTCCTCATCGACTCCAGTGAAACTTTTTAAAAGTCGTAACTTAAAACAGTTCTCAGTTATGTTACATGTTAAGTCTACATTTATTTTTAACTGCAATAGAGAAAAAAGACTTAGAAATGCTACTTTTTACAGCTTTTTGCCTTGAATATCTTTGGGAAAATATTTAGCAGTTCTTGATCAGAAATCACACATAACTAAATATCCTTGTTATTTATTACTTATCTATTACTGCATGCCTTTTAAAAATATATACTCATAGAGTAACAAAAATAGATTAATACCAGGGGACTTTAGTTTATAATGCAAAGCTCTATCTTTCATTAAAACAGTGATTTTAGAGTTGGTGAGATAGCACAGTTGCTAAAGAGCTTCCTGCAAAACATGAGGGCCTTTGTCCACTTTCTTTGTTCACAGCTCTTCATATTCCACGTAAAAAGGAAGGTGTGGTGGCATACTCTTATGAGTCCCAATGTTGTCAGACCCCTAGGGCTCACTGGAGCCAATACAGCCTATGTGGCAAGTCCCAAGGTGGTGAGAGACCCTGTTTTACAAAAAAAAAAGGTGGCTAGGACCTGAGGCACAATATGTAAGGTTTGTTCTTTGGCTTCCACAGCATTTGCACACGTGTATACTCACACAGAAAAGTAATAAATCCGCAGACTAACTGAAATCCATCATTATGGAGATGTTGGGATATGTAAATCAAAGCAAATGGGCTAAGGGCAAGGAAAAATGGAATCCTGTGATAAAGGATGCCTGAGAATTTTGGCTTCAGAACTCAGACCTGAGCCTTAGCTATAGAGCCAGGCAATAGCTGAAAAACCTTTAAATGTTTAACCCTATTTTGTGAGACGTTGCCAGATTTTAGCTTACTTGTATACATAGTGTTTTTGTCACTTGTTTACATAAATGAAGAGAAATTAATTTTGCTGGTAGATTTTTTGCTAATATATGGTGCTATATGAATAATCAGGTCCTGTTTCAGGTACTAGTGACTAAATTGGTGAATGTGACTGTTTTTGCATACTGAATAGACTTAAATTTATTCAGGATAAGATCTTGGGTTAATTACTAACATTTGGAACATGTTTTGTTATATTACCTTATAGAATGCATTTTCACATACACTAAGGAATTCTGTGGAATTCCTTAAAATATTAGGTAGCCAAAGTCTTCATTTTGTAAGTAATTGAAAAAATAAGGCAGTTTGTTATCACTCTCAGTAATTTGACAAGGATGGGGCTGTGAGTAGAAGAACACTAGCATAGCATGCAGAAAACCCTGGTTAAACCTCCAGCACCAACTAACAAAACACAATATTGCCAAAACATTATTGAGGCATAATGCTATGATCAGTTCATATTTTTACTTTCGTTTTTAAAATGCCCCTACTGGGCAAGCACGATGGCTCTGACGGTAAGGAAACTTATACAAGCCAGAGAACCTGAGTGTGCTCCCCTAAGCCCACGATGGAAAGAGATAACCAGCCCTCAGAAGCTTTCCTCTGCTCTCACACATGTACCAGCACATGCATAGCACACACACACAAATAATAATGAATTTTAATTAAAAATTAAGAGAATTTAATTTAGATAATAGGTCATTATTTTATTATTCTCTTAAATTCTGATGGAGGTCAGAGCACAACTTGAGGAAATTCCTCTCCTTCTACCATGTGACTCCAAGGAATTAAAACTCAGCTCATCTGATTTAGCAGCAAGTTCTTATACCGTACTGAGCCATCACTCCTACCATATTATTAATGTTCTTTTTAACATATTTACATGAAGTAAAAGCTATGTACGGTGGAGCATACCTCTGATAGAAGCTTCTTTAAAAACCAAAGCAGAATGACCTCATGAGCCTAAACTAGATAACTTAGCAAGACTACATTTAAGAAAAACAAAACAAATAAGTAAAAACCTTGGCTAGGGCATATCAGTGGTTATACATATTCTGGGTTCAATCTCCAGCACCACGAAATAGAAAATAAAGCAGGGGCCTTGGGTGATGGCCGTTGGTAAAGTGCTGCCTTACAAGCAAGAGAACCTAATTTTGGAGTGCCAGCACCCATATACAAATTTGGGTGGCCATCGTGGCTTTACCAGCGTAGAACAGCTAAGGCAGGAGGCCCTGAAGCATGATGCAGGGCCATGGTTTAGCCAAGTCTGAATGCTAGTTCAGTGATACCCTTTCTCAAAAAATAACACGCAGAGCTGTAAAGGAAGATAACTATTTCAACCTCTGAGGGCCCCCACACACACACACCCCTACACACACGCACAGCAGCTAGACAAAAAAGAGAAGATGATGGGAGACGTCATTCTGTAAATATGTTTCTCATACTGGCTAATGAATAAAGCACTGTTGGCCAATAGGAAAGGAAGATGGGAGGGACTAGGAGACAAGGAGGAAGAGGAAGTAGGAAGGACAAGACCAGCAGCAGGCAGAAAAACCTTACTCCTTACAGCAGGCATGTGTTGATAAATAATTATCAATATTATCTTTTGCTACAAAGTAGATAATTCCAATAAACTATTCCATAGTCTTTTTAAAGGTATATTCAGTAAGTTCCCTCCCCATTAATAAATATAGGTCTACATGCATACATGTGGATATGTGTATATTGTATTTGCCTACTTTTTTTATTATAGTTTTACAGTAAGCATCCCTAGATTAGTTTAAATCTTTATGTACTTACATACATGTTTGCTTCACATGTATTTCTATATGTGAAATTGTTGGGACAGAGACTATGAAAATGTCTAAGTTATATTTATTCTTACTGAAAATATTTTAACCAGGAAAGTTGGGCCAATTTATACTTCCAGGCTAGTTTGGTTGTGTTGTTTTTTTTTTTTTTTTTTTTGTTTTAATGGCTATTTGTTTGCTTGTTTCTATACTGACACTAAATACTTCAGTTTATTTTTGCCAGTCTTACAAGCTACACATACTATTTCTTACTCTAGCTACTTGTATTTCTTTAGTGAATCAGTTGTTCAGGTCATTGGCTGTTTTCTTTTGGATAGCAGTGCTCTGTTAATTTATTAATATCCTATTCAACAAGCCCCTCTATGACTTTGTGACTGTATAATAGTAAGCATAATTGTTTTCCTCTGGCATGAGTAAGAAAAAGATCAGAACCCTGTTTGAAGCCTTCTGGATTTTTGTTTGTGCCATCAAAAGACATTTTTTCTTTTTAACATTCTGTCTTAACAATGTCAGAGAACCCAGAATTTAGTAGATTCTTAGTGTGGCATTATATTGAATGATTTGGAACTAATGTGGGAAGAAAAAAGTTGCAACAGGAGTAATCCCTCGTCATGCTTTACTTGTATTTTATATCCACTTGTTCACAGTTCATTGGTAGGATGCTGTGTGGGTAGAATCATTCCCTATTTTAGGTAAAAAGAATCAAGGACATGAATTCTAAAGTTATGCTTACCTAATTAACATTTGGGAGCCAGTGAGATGGGTCAGCCAGTGAGCCTGGCAACCAGAGTTGCCACCCACATGGTGGAAGGAGAAATGGATTCCCATGAGTTGTCCTCTGACTTCCACAGTTACTCATATGTGTGTGTATGTATGTGTGTGTATATATATATACATACATACATACATATATATGTGTTTAAAATAAAAGTTTTAATCCAATAAAGTAATGATCGGTTTGGGGGAGGTTATGATAGCATTTACCTCTAGTAACAATATTTCCTGGAATATCAAAGCTTTGGCTTGCCATCAAATGTAATTGTCCCTAGATCGCCACATCTTTTTGACAGTAAATATATGCACTTGGTAAACTGGGTAGATTATTAAATTAGATATGAAGTGTTAGTAGCCACAGGCGTACAAGGCACTGCTTCTGTAGTAATATTGGCTACTTTATTTCATTGCAGTGAGCATAGAATGCATTTTAATGAAACTTTACCTGTAACACATTTCTCAATGATCTTGTTATTATCTCAAGGGAGACACAGTGAATGGAAGATTCTGTAATAATAGCTGTAAAACTTACTACTCCAGTTTGAGATCCTGGGAGCATGGTGCTAGATATATCTTATTTCTTTGTCAGATTTCTCAAGCCCACTGTAGCCAAAATAAAACAAGACATTTTTGGTTTTGGGTTTTTGAGACAGTGTTTCTCTGTAGCCCTGGCTGTCCTGGAACTCCCTTTGTAGACCAGATTGACATCAAACTCAGAGATCCGCCTGCCTCTGCCTCCTGAGCACTGGGATTAAAGGCGAGCACCACCACTGCCTGGCAAAATAAGATTAAAACTTTAAGCTTTCTGTAGACAACAGTTAACTTTGATTTAAGGGCAATTTTGATTTTGAAAATTTTGTTAATAGGGATATCATTTTAAAGATATGTCTAGAAAGATATTATTCAACTTGACTTCTGTATATTGTTAAAATGGTGTTCTCTCCTGTCAGGTTATGTTTGTTAATATGGTTTCCTTTGTAAAAGAAATGCAAATCAAAAATATTTGCAAATATTTGAAGTACCTACTTCAGATATAATCTGATGGAAAGCACAACTACTTTAAGAGTTTATGTCTCAACTTTATTTCTAAATGTGCAGACCAGCTTTCTCCTCAGTATGCCTGGCAAGTATAATAGACTTTATGGGAAATAAATAGTTGCACTCAGAGCAAATTTTTAATATGAATGTAAGAAATATCTTCTCTTTCTGCTTTCCTTTACATACTTATTACTAAGATCATTGTGTTGGCATTATTATTTAACACTACACTTTGTTCAAAACATCTCAAACTCTGTGACTTTGTACATTTTCATGAAATTGTCTAAGTGAATTAGGATTCTGAGAACATGAACTGTTTATTCTGTTTTCTTTGCTTACCTCAGTTATATACCAGGAATAAAATTTAGTAGAAGTAGACATATATAGATGTTCAAGATCCGGGATTAAGTCCTCAGCAAAGAGGATATGAAATAATAAATTTAAAAGTGGTTATGTTAAGTGCTAGCATAAATGAATATCATTAATACTATTTATTTAAAAAATCAGAACAAAGAAATTAGAATAAAAGAAAAGGCTTATTTTATGTTGATTTATGTTCAAGAGAGATTAACTGGTATGGTATAACAAGCTTTTGTCACTTTGACACGTAACAAGTTTCCTAAAAATCTCTGTAGAGTCTTAAATATAGGGGCACTGGGACTAGATGATGATGGTGGTGTGTGTGTGAGTGTGTGTGTGTGTGTGTGTGTGTGTGTGTTGTCCTCAGTGTTCCATGATTTGTGCTTCAGTACATCATCTCTGTATTTTTAGTAAAGGATGCCTAGCCCAAGTTCATGTTACTTGAGTGAAGCAAACATCTTCCTGCATTTCTCTTTCCCTACCTACTCCATTAACCTGGATATGTGGAATGTGACTAAATTCATCGTTTCCATGTACAACTTACTAACGTCAGCTTTGTAAGCGTGCTGTTTCTGAACTGAAGTAAGCAATACCATTCTGTTTTAAAGATAGTGACTTATCTATTACATGTAAATTCTCATGGCTTTATTTTTCTTTTCAAGGTTGAAGAGATGGTACAGAACCACATGACTTATTCATTACAGGATGTAGGTGGTGATGCGAATTGGCAACTGGTTGTAGAAGAAGGAGAAATGAAGGTAATTCCCACACAAATTATTTGGGTTGCTAACTGAAGGGTGCTGATATAAGTAAGTAGTAAAATGTTAAAACAAGTTATCACATCAAAGAAGTACCATGGCTTCAGTTCTATTGATTTGTGATTGTAATATAAATCTATGCACACAATATTCTGTTTTATACAGACAACAGAGAGAAAAATTTGAGAGTTTATATGTAAAGCAGACCTCAATCAGCTGATGAATCCCTATTTAGATCTCTCTTCCCCCATGTTGATATGAGGGTGTCAATCCCTTAGAACTGGAGTCACCATGTGGGTGCTGGAAATTAGACCCAGGACCTCTGGGAGGGCAGCCAGTCCTCTTAACTGCTGAGCCATCTCTCCAGACCCTAAATATTTCTTTCAGTCTTTGATTTAAATATAGTAATGTTGTTCTCAGACATTACTTCATTTCTCTTCTGTTTGGTCTATACTGTCTCCCACCCTACACTCTCTGTTCAGAGGATTCATTGTCCTTCTTTGGAGATACAGACATGAAGGAATAAAGAGAAACCAGGAGTGTTTAATAATCTAAGTGATGGTCTTCTACCTGTAATGAGGAGTAGAGAAAAGGCATTCCTCTAACCCACAACACTAGATAGAGACAGAGAAATTGGGATTAGATTATCAGAATCATAAAGTAAGCCACCAGTGAGAAAGTTGATTTTCTTGTCACTAGGTTTTCCACTTTATATAGCATATCGTTTTAGAGAGGTTAACAGATTTGGAAGACTGAAATGAGAGGCCTGGAAGACCACTCAAGAGCATCAAGCACAATATGATCAAGACCTACAGTCAAATAGATAAGCAATGATAGGAAAGCCAGGCTGTATGCTTTAGAGAGGGTCAGGAATATGCTTAATACTTTTGGAAACTTTGAATGTAGAAATTTTTAATGTACAGTTTCCAGTTCGAGTGATGATAAAATTGGTAGTCCTGATAATGTACATAAGTAAGCATGTCGAGATGGCATAAGACAGACTGTCCAGTTTGAGCATGCCATAACATGGCAGCTTATTCTTGCCACAGTTCTTTATTTCTGGAAAGAACTTACCAGAGATTTCTCTAAAGTAACAAACTGTAATTTTGAAATAAGAGATTACACTTAGGGTATACAGCCTTAGTATTTTAAAAAACACGAATCTGTGTTTATAATCCATTTGCCATTTCTGCCTCTGGTGTTTTGTTCAGTAAACTGAGCACCTAGTGAGTTTCTAATACTGTTCCAGATGGTGGGGATGTAGCATTGAACAAAGCAACATTAAGTCAGTGTTTGGTAGGGTCTGGTTGGCTATGAGAATGTTTGATTCATAATGCTAATTTATATTATTTTTCATCTGTAGTAATTGTCATCCATCATATCTAAATTTTTCATGGTTGAAATTTACCTTAGAACTGGCCATGGTGGCACACACCTTTAATTCCAGCACTCACAAGCAAAGACAAGCTAGACTGATCTATCTCTCTGAGTTCTAGACCACTCTGGCCTACAGAGTGAGTTCCAGGACTGCATAATGAGACCCTGTCTCAAAAAACAAGAGCAACAACGAGAAAGGGCTAGGGGGACAAAGGAGAGAGAGAAATTGCCTTAGACTTGTCATTTTGAAATAGTCTTGTCACATGTTAACTTCTTACAGCAGAATATGTTCTAAAAATAGATTTTCATAACTGCAATTCTAAAACAGCAGCATTTCTGGAATACAGTCTTACTGTGTAGCCTTGCCTGGTCTTACACATGTTAATATAGGCCAAACTAGCCTCGAACTTGTCTTCATGCTTTATCCTCTCATGTGCTGGGATTACAGGTGCATGCCATCATGCCTTGCAAAATCAGCTCAGCTTGGAAGCATACTTTCAAGATTTAATTCAAGAGTCTATAACTTTTTTTTAAATCCTGGCAAAACAGCAAGAAAGTTTTTTTTATTAAAGGGACAGTGCAGGATGCATTGTATGAGAGCAGCAGGCTACCTGATCTAGAAAGCCAAAGAGCCAAGAGTTTGAAATTTTTTTGTTTTTGTTTTTGTTTTTTAAATATGTTTTTCTTAGGTATACAGAAGAGAAGTCGAAGAAAATGGAATTGTTCTGGATCCTCTGAAAGCTACCCATGCAGTTAAAGGTGTTACCGGACACGAGGTCTGCAATTACTTTTGGAGTGTTGATGTTCGCAATGACTGGGAAAGTAAGCTGTCATCATTAATATATTATACCAAATAATTATTTTCATTTTCAACTTAATGTCAAATCAAACCCAATTGCCTTATCTGATAGTTTACCACCTCAACAGAGTCGTATACAGGATTAATTATACCTTAATTTCATTTGCAAGTGGTGGTAGTGGGATCAAACTCAGGTCCTCACATACCCTAGGCAGCTGTTCTACCACTGAGCTACTGGTAACTCAGTAGATGGAGTCTCACTGTATAACCGGGCTAGCCTTGGATTTTTAGCCCCTTTTTTTAAGCCTTCCAAGTTATATGATTACAGGTATGTACAACCATGCCTGACAATAATTTTCAGTAGATCTTTTCACTGTTTAAAAGACTTAAGATGTCATATCACAGGATCCAGTATTCTAATAGTATCTCATGATAGGTAGGTATTTTCCATACAAATGAAGTAAAATTCATATGCATCAAATGATTTGTTAGAAGTGACAGAGCAGGTTAGTAGAAAAGTCAGGATTGCTATAGGAGATTTTTTTATCCATGTACTGTCCCCTAAACTGTCTTGTTTCTGTGACAAATTGCCAGATGAATTACTTTCATGTATGTGTTCCTAGACTCACAGTTTATAAATACAGAAATAAATTATTTCTGAACCTTACTGACATTTTACCATTTGTTCCTTACAAATATAATCACCTATGCCAAACTAGAACACATTAATCTAGTTAACTGAAAGAAGAGTGGTAACATTAGGGAATATTTCAGCTGGAATAATACAGTAGTGATTAGAATTGCTTTTCTTGCTATGGAAGATACTGTGCTAAAGAAAACTTCCAAGCACCCCAGTCTTGGAAACCAAGGATAGGACCGACCCAGATGCCCTGAACATGGGTGTTAGTTAGGAGGACTGGGCAGTCTATGGGGCCTCTGGTAGTGGATCAGTATTTATCCCTAGTGTACAAATGGGCTTTGGGAGCCCATCCCACATAGAGGGATACTCCCTCAGCCTAGACACAAGGGGAGGTCCTAGGCCCTGCTCCAAATGATATGACAGACTTTGAAGAGTCCCCATGGAAGGCCTCACCCTCCTTAGGGAGAAGAAAGGGGATGGGATGGGGGTTGTGGGGAGAGACAAGGGAGGAGGGGAGAGAGAGAGAGAACTAGGATTAACATGTAAAACAAGCTTGTTTCTAATTTAAATTAAAAAAAGAAAACTTCCTGGTAATCAGGCACCACAGCTACCTTCTGTAGCCCTAGTATCAAGAAGTAAGACTAGCTGTCTTACATTTAGATATAGCCTAGGGAATGCAAGATTTGTTTGTTTTACCATGATGTTGTTTATAATTGACTTGTCTTAAGTGAATTGACCACACTTTAGAAAATGAAATCTTTCTCTTTTTTTGGCTGCTAATATGATTCTTTTCATTTCAGCTACTATAGAAAACTTCCATGTGGTGGAAACATTAGCTGATAATGCAATCATCATTTATCAAACGCACAAGGTAATAATCTGTCATTTGTTTCCAAAGATGCCAATAATTCAGACTCAGATGTACATATTTCCTGCAGTAAAATTTGGCAGAAATTTACATTTAAATCCCAACAAAAGACCCAAGACGTGTGTTTGTTTGTTTGCTTGTTTGAGACAGGTTCTTTCCATGTAGCCTTGGCTATCCAGTTGTATAGACCAGGCTGGCCTTGAACTCACAGAGATCTACCTACCTCTACTTCTCAGTGCTGGGATTAAAAGCTAAAACCCAAAAACTTTATTACAACCTCAGGAATGTTATATATTTGAAAATTCTACCAGTTCATTTAGAACAGAAATGTATGGGGGTATAAATCTGAGGAGTAGTCTAGAAGCAGCCCTGGATGAAGAACTGTAGTTCTCTCTATGTAGATCAGAAGTCTAGAAAGGACCTTCTGGACTTCATTTAAAATCTCTTTATTGTCTCACTCTATAAACGGTAGTTATCAAATATACACAAGTGACAGTTGCACATGACAGTATTGAAGGTGAGGGAATATGGTATTAACTATACAAAGATATAAAAATTGTCTACCTAGGTTATCTGGAAACAAGAAAAAGTTGAGAGGTTGGTCATACTATTAAAGCACACTGAAACATTTAAATTGATTCCCTTTATATTAGTTCTCCCACTGCTTTTCGATAAATGTAAAGTTATTGAGTTATTATAGTATTTCTCTTGCCTTTTTTTCTGTTTGTTATGCTGTTTTCCTGATTTATCAAGTCCCAGCAACCATGTGGTGGCTCACAACCATCTATAGTGGGATCTTGTGCCCTCTTCTGGTGTAAAGACATACATGCAGATAAAGCATTCATATATACATAAAATAATTTTATAATTTACATTGATTTTTGCCTGCATGCATGTCTATGTGAGGTGTCAGATCTCCTGGAACAAGAATTATAGACAGCTGTGAGCTGCCATGTGGGTACTGGGAATTGGACCTAGGTCCTCTAGAAGAGCAGCCAGTACTCTTTAACCACTGAGCTATTTCTCTAGCCCCAAAATAAATAAATCTTAAAAGGGTCCCTGGAGAGATGATTCCGAGGTAAAGAGCACTGGATGGTCTTCCAGAGGTCCTGAGTTCAAGTCCCAGCAACCACATGGTGACTCACTACCATCTGTAATAAGATCTGGTGTCCTCTTCTGGCATAAGGCATGCATACAGGCAGAATGTTGTATACATAATAAATAAATAAATAATCTTTTTTAAAAAGAAATTATTAAAAATAAGGACAGAGTTCAATTACATATACCAAATTCTCAGCATAAAAGTAACTTGAACAGGATAGGAGGCTGTTTTCCTGTCACTTAAAGTAGATAGTTCCAGTCAATAAATTGCATGTCATTTTTTCTTATACTTAATTTTCTTATACCTTAAAATAACAGTTTTTCTTATAACTTAAAATAAAAATATTCAATAAATTAAAATTAGTTCAGAAGTGTCATAGAGAAGATGTTTTTAATTCTTTGATTCTCTAAGAACATTGACAGACTGTGGGGAGTGGGATGTCCCATTGTTGCTTCAAGGGTACAAAGTTTCTGTCTGAGGTGATGATTTTAGGAATATTGCAATCGTATATTGTCGCTGTAACTAATTCTATTCAGTGTACTAAATTATACAATAACAATAGTTAAAATAGTGAATTTACAATACTTTTAAAAGGAAAAAGAGTATTACCCCGTTAAGTATTCTGGAAAGTTGGTGGTTGTTCATACTGCATCCTTCCCAGGAGTCTGATGCTTCCCACTTAAAGTCTGATGAATTCCAACTTCATGATACTTAAGTGGCTCCTCGTGTGTTCCTTTTTTCTGTATGACACCTGATTAAAAGTAATTCAGATTGTCAAAATACTTTTCATTCTACAGAGAGTGTGGCCTGCTTCTCAGAGAGACGTGCTCTATCTTTCTGCTATTCGAAAGATCCCAGCCTTGACTGAGAATGACCCTGAGACTTGGATAGTTTGTAATTTTTCTGTGGATCATGACAGCGCTCCTGTGAGTATAGTATAAAAATGAATATAATTCTACAAAATAAAGTTAAATACATAATGCAGCGAAATTTAAACACACTTCCTCCCACCCACACATAGATACTTGATTTGATGGGGTTTAGATTTTTTTTTTTTTTTTTTTTGGCTAGGTTGCTTGGGGCAGCCTTGTGTTTTCTGAAAACAAGTATCAAATCTCAGCACCCCCACTATAGCTATTTAGCTTTCCTTCTGAGTTTGGTAAGATAGCTTCTTGGGTATTCTAAATAGCTTACTTCCTAAAGTTATCTCTTAAGCCATTACTAACTACTGCAAACCTGTTGTTCCTACTTGATTTAGTACCATTTAGTACTTTAGAAGGGAGAAAAACCTGTTTTCTGTCAGTTTGACCTATGTTAATTGGTGATTATAAGATTTTAAATGGGGGCTGGAAAGATGGCTCAGAAGTTAAGAACACTGGGTGATCTTCCAAAGGACCCAGATTCAACTCATAGCACTGACATGGTGGCTCACAGCCATCCGTAACTTAAATCAGGGGACCTGATGTCCTCTTCTGGCCTCTGGGTAACTGTACACACAGTGTGCTCAGGTAAAACACCTGTGCTCATAAAATAAAAGTGTGCAACAGTTATTTTAAGCAAGTTTTACCGAAGACTTCATAGCAGTTTAAACTAGTGAAATAACAGGGCAGCAACTTTTAAAATAAGGACCATTCTTCAAACTGATGTTAGTTTGTATGTCTGTTTTGACAGCTGAACAATCGATGTGTCCGTGCCAAAATCAACGTTGCTATGATTTGTCAGACTTTAGTAAGCCCACCAGAGGGAAGCCAGGAGATCAGCAGAGACAACGTTCTGTGCAAGATCACATACGTAGCTAATGGTATGTATTTCTTGTTTTGTTTGTTCTAATTGATAATGTGTAGGTTCTTGACCCATCTTCTACATAAAAATATCCAGTTGCTTAGTCTTTAAACTGAAGATGTTATATATAGAATTGTGTGGAAGATATTGAAAGTCCACAAGCCTGAATTTCTTCTTTAGAACTAGTATATGGGAATTTTTAAAGTTACAACTGAGGGCATAAATTTTAAAACTTTATCTATAAGTCACTGTTTCATATATCCTTAGTTTTAAGAACCATATTATATAGCTGCCTGATAGAATATATTTATAATTAGAAATAATAGAAACAAGAGACCTTTGGTTCTCGGAATCTCCTCCCAGCCTTTAATAGCTGCCCGTGTCATCAGTTCATTCTGACTCACTGTTGGACAGGCCTGCCTGTTTGCTCCTTTCTGCACCTGTTCTGCATCTGCAGCCTTTCTAATTAAATATTCAAATGTTCATCATCACTCAAAGCCATCACTATCCAAATGTTTAAAGAAATGCTTGTCACTACTTAGTTCAGTAGTAACGTGCTACATTCTTTCTTACCACCTGATGGGTTGGCATTAGGTGAATAGTTTCAGATCAAGGAATGTTAGTTAGCTGTTCCAACATGGGGAATTTTTGAAAAGCAAATACATAAGTACTTCACATGAAGAACTGTGTCTAATAGTTTTACCGTCCCTTTATTTACAGTGAACCCAGGAGGATGGGCACCAGCCTCAGTGTTAAGAGCAGTGGCAAAACGAGAATATCCTAAATTTCTAAAGCGTTTTACTTCTTACGTCCAAGAAAAGACTGCAGGAAAACCAATTTTGTTTTAGTATGTACAGGTACGGAGGATCTGTTACCCTTGTTGACTAGCAGGTTGTAAATTTACTCTGCAGATAATAAATTCAATTAGTTACTGGAGGGAGGTGTTGAAAATGTTTTATGTCCTTTTTTCTTTCTGAAAACACACAGTTTTAAAGGTGCCATATATAGTTGTATTAACCCAACTATGGAATGTGCAATGTACACAAGTCAGCTAAAAATGGATTTTTTTTTTTTTTCTGTTTGAGCAGGTAGAAGGCACCTATCAATTTTATAAGTTCATTTGAACTGTATAACCAGCCTGTCATGGGGGCTCTGTAGCCAACAAGATTTATCATGTCTCATTCAGTCTCAGAGCTGTTCCTATATCAAGGGGTCAGCATATATGTCACCAGTCCAGCAGGCTTTCCTGGCTTTTCCCTCATGTCTGTAGCCAGAATCCTCAGGAGATCTTCCCAAGTCAAATCTTATCTCTATTAAATTTGAAGGAATCAAGAGGGTTTCTTGTTTGTTTGTTTGTTTCCTGTGGAAACAAAGGCATATCCTCTCTCCATAACATAACACACATTCTGGACCCATCTTTTTACTTGGGTACCACTGATCCAGACATAGGTTCTCATGAGTACCTTACTGAATGGGCCATATCCCCAACCCCTGAAAAGAATAATAATTTTTAAGCATTTAAAATAAGCATGCTAAGACATTCATAGCATTTGCCTCCAGCATACTGGGTTCAGAGCCATGTTTCATTGACTTGGCTATAAATGTATAGAATTGAAATAAGTGGAATCCTTTTAAAATTTCTGATGTGGAAAGTTACATTGTTTGTAGATAAACATGTATGTAAAAATATATATGTATAAATAGATACAGGAATCACTAAGAGGATGTACCGTCCAACATTTGGCCCTGGCTCTTGTAAATCCAATTTGAGAATGTTTTTTCCAAAATCCAAAGTCAAGCCCTAACATACATTAAACATCTTTATTAACCTTTCATGTCTTTTTCGTATGGGAGGTATTTTTAGTGGGACCTAGCGTTAAAAGCTTAGGAAAACTAACAGTTAATTCTGGTAGTGTGGGTGTTTTTGTTTGATGATAGCCAAAACTCTTGGGCCAGGGGTTGTAGCATATTTATTTTTTGAATACGATAGATACCACACACACATATACTAACTTAAGTTTAATTATCAAGGTCTTGAAAATAGTATTGTATTGTAATTTCTGTGTGAGGCAGAGGAAGACAATGTTAATTTATTGGCTAGTACTCCAGAAACCTGATGGATGTCCTCTTTACTCACAGCATGTTGCTCTCCATGTGTTTTCCCTGTAACTTTTAAAAGATCCCTTTGTATTTTCTGTTGCTTGCAGAGGATAAATTTTCAAATATATAAGGTTAATAATTTCACATTCACAAGGCTGAAAATCCTTTAAAGGTGAATTATTATTTGAACATGGAAGGTGGGAGGCATCTAGTCTGATAGTCTTCATGCTTGGGTCTTATATGTCATTTTTTCCCCCAGAAGTGACTGAAGCAAGGCTGTGTGACATTCCATGTTGGAGAAAGAAAGAAGAAAAATTGAGTTCTCTAAGCTGGAACGCAGGATCTACAGCCTTGTCTGTGGCCCAAGAAGAAACATTGCGATAGTAAAGCTGGGTATCTAACACTAGCCATCTCCTGATAGATCTCCTCGCTCAGCGTGTAACTATAAATACATGTAAAATCACATGTATATGGCTATATTTTTATTTGCCTGCTCCTAGGAGAGAAAAAAAAATTAACTTTGAATTACAACTAGGAATTAATTGCTTTAATTTTGGGGAACTTTTTCAGAATTTTTTATTTACCACGGTTCAGCCTAAGATCCTCAGTTGTATCAAGTTTTGTGCACAAAAGAAAAGCACAGAAGTTGAATGCGCCTGAGGCTTGCGTTCTCTGTGCACCAAATATTCAGATGGGCTTTTTACAGGCCTACAGTCTGCGTCTGTGTCTAGAAGTTTTTGACTTTTTGCTTTGTATAATCATAGAATCTATTGCTGCTGATTTCTATAAGAATTCCTGTTGTGTGTCTCTTCATAATTGAGGACTGTTGATAACCTGTGATTTTTGCCTTTTCTATTATCTTACTCCCATGAAGAACATTGGTTCTGATGGAGAAAGAATGAAAAGCTTTATTTTCTCCCCCCAGATATCTTTATATTTTTATTACATATTTTAGTTGTGTACTATGTGCTACCAACTTTTTTCAGTTTGTTACGAACACAATTTGGTAATTCCTAAATTGGTTCTGCCTGCCTCCAGTCAGAAACATCTGTACATCTCTGTGGGTATAAGTACTTTATAATACAATGGTCAGGATAAAATGAGTTCATATTTTTCCTGAAATTTGTAAGAGAATATATGGTATTACTTGTTAAACCAAATCAAACTGTTTGAATTTGACATTGATTTAATATTTCTAGTATTCTGTAACAAATATGTTAGTTTTTCTAGCTTGGATCACTTTAAATGACATATCGAAAGGTATACATAGAAAATCTGAGCAATGCTCCCATTTGCCTCTTGATCATAAATTTCAGCAGAACAGTACAATTCCACACTATTCAAACTGAAGTGCTTTCTTTAGTTGCTATAAGAAACTAACATGTAAAATACCTGACTTAGTTGTAGTCCTCTGTGAAAAACTTTGAAGCATGGAGTTGAGGCAAGGAATGGTACTCACTGAAGTTGAGATGACTGCCCACTTCATACTCTACATTGTGTTTACAAGCAGATGTATTTATGTATATCAGAGGCATTTGTAGATGCTTTGCTGGCGTGTCCCTCTCCTTAGAAACACAAAAATCAGACCCCTTTTGTAAAGCAGAAAGTCATGTCATGTAAAACATGATCTGTATATATTCCATACATGGAAATGGGATCTAAATGATAAATGCAAGGTGTGATAATTTAATGATGGGATTAGTCTGATCAGTTAATATGCACAATCCTGGAAGTGAATTACTTGCATCAGATAGAATATTTATTACTCTGTACAGAGAGAAAAGTACATATAAAACATAGAGCTTACATGCACGCAGTTTCACGTCCCATAAATCTTTTATATTTTTTAATTTACCTTTCTCTAAATGATGTGCATGGAATATGCCTTATTACAGAAATTCTATTCATAATTTGACTCTGTGGAAAAGTGCCTATATGGTGGTAATGCTAGGAAGGCAAGTAAGACAGATTATCATACCAGTTTACATCACCAGTTAACATTTTATATTGTGATGTTTAAAAAAAAGAAAAGTTTATACCTCAAATGTGTATTTTATTTTACAATCAGCTATGGGGTTGGGATGGAGAACTGGGAGGGTTGGGAGGGAAAGTTTATTTGCCATAGGCACTGGCGGGAATCTTTAAACAAAAGAAAAAACTCTACGCCCACTATAAATGTTCCTCTGTTTGCATCTCTGGTAACAGTAATGAACCAGACAAGTAACTCTTTCATAACTAAATCGGATAACTTTATTTACAAAGATATGCAAGTTTCTGAAGCAGTGTCTGATTCTAATTATCACCAGTTGCATTTGCACTAAATGTGGTGATAGACTTTTACAATTTAGTCTGTAAATAAAATGTTACACTGAAAATGTTTATATTAAAAAAGAAAAAAAGAAATGATACATTTTACCTTTCAGTAATTGCACTTATACTTCATTGGAGTTAATCCTGCCCAATCAGATTTAGAACTGAGTTCAGAAATGTGTAAAGTATTCAAAAAAAGTCCAAGTGAGGAGGAGCACTGGCCATTTTTTTATAATATTCAGACCCTCAAGAATTACTTTCATTTGGCTAATTCCTATGTCCTGAATAGTTATGGTGTTTCTTCATACATGGGTATTTCTCTTTATCTAAGCTCCCATTCCATGCCCCCCAACAAGCCCCTATGCTCAAGTCTCCTGAATTATTTTGTGCTCTGTTAGACATCTGAAAAAATATTGGTGATATGGGGATATGTGAGTGAACTGGGTGAGAGAGCAGAGTGTTCGTTCCCCTTGGGATTGAGGACTCTGTGTCTGAGGTGGAGAGACTTGATTTGGTGTTGCTACAGGAAGAACAGCAGAGGGAAAAGGGGGTTACCTAAGAGAGATGTGAGGAGAAAACGAAAAAAAGGAAACATGGCTTTCTCAAATCTGTTCGTTTTCATGACTAATTTATACATCTATACAATATCAGTGTCAGTTGCTACTGAGAATTTTAGCTGGGCTGGCTGGTTCGCTTGTGAAATTGTGCCGGTTATCTTTAAGCTTATCAGTTATTTGTCCAATCAGATACTTTACCAGTATTTAGTCCAGGCTGTACAAATGATGTATTTGAATTGTCATTGTTCATCTACAGACTCAAAACATAATCATTTTCAAGTACCTTGGGAGTGTGTAGAGTGTAACTATAATAGCTTTATGATTCTGATGATGTTTTTTAAAAAAAATAAAAGATGGATCTTCCATGTTACAATCACAAAATTAAAACCAGTATTTAAAAGTGGAGAAGTATTAAAATATTATGGACAAATATGCTTGCTCGCTTGATTTGTTTTCCTTAACCCCAAGGTACTGTCTTAAACAATTTTCTGGGTAGTTTTAAAAGTTTTCTTGAATTATTCCAATTCAGTAATCCTGTTTGCATCCTCATTAGCAAATCAGAACAGGCATGTACTAAAGGTAAGTATTCTGTCAATCTTTTATCATGTGTATTATGTATATTGTGTGATGGATTACAATTTAAATAATTATGAATTACACTTAAAGGTCTTATTGCTAGAGAGGGAAGCCACATACAGTTTCTGAGTTTCTAAAATTCAAGTGCAGCACCTGTGTAATGTACATTCATTCATATGCTCTTAATCATGAATGCATAATTTCTCATTTACTTAAGAAATACCAGCTCTGCTTGTTACAGTTCTAGAACTGCTGTCATGGGAAGTGTAGACTTGTAGTGTACTCGTTGGGATCTTTCTTGATCGTGCTGAAAAGCACTGAATGCATTTTATCTCTAGAGTGTTAGCAGTATGAGCTGTTAATATAAGCTAGCCACCTGATTTGGGATGTGATTTGGCCTCTCCCTTGAGTTGGTTCTACTGGGTGCCTGCAGCTTTCTTCAGCTAATTTCCCATATTCTCCAGTATTCTGATGTATCCACAAGTTAGTCTTCACCTTCAAAGCTTCATACACAGCCCTTTTAGGAATTCCTTACAGGGAGTCTGACCAATACGTGTGATGCCTGGTCTCAGTTGCTTTCTAGAGCCTTGGTGCAAGCCTCCATACCCCATTGCATTCTGTGCATCTGTAAAAACTTAGCATATCAGCCAGGTATGCTGGCCAGCAATGGAGGCAGAGGTGGTCGGATCTCTGAGTTAGAGGCCAGTTTGGTCTACAGAACGAGTTCCTGGATAGGCAGCTACAAAGAGAAACCCTGTCTCCAAACGAAAGAAAAGTACTCCATCAACAGAGTTCACTATAGGATAACACACCCAGAAACATGGATGAACCTACCCATCAAGTAATCCTCTCTGGAAAGGCCTTACAGACTAAAAGGTTCACCTGAATGCCCTGGATGTTCATTAATCCAGTCAAGTTGACTGTCAAAACTGGTCATTACAACTACCACTTGGTGTCTTGTTCTTCCACTGAGAGGGATGAGTTAAGAAAATAAACATCACTATAGACAAATCCAAATGGCATAGTTCACAGATTCTTCAACTTGTGAGCATGTTCTAATAGCGCACTTTTGTGGGCTACCTGCCACAAACCCAGCCTCTGATGAAAGAGCAAACTTTAATTCTATTCAAGGCAGTTTACTGTGGTCATTTCTATTTACTTGAATTTGGAGGATGAGTGGTAGCTAGCTGAACAACAAGAAATCTGAGCAGCTGAGACAAGGTTTAGTCAGGGTCCAAACCATTTTGGTAATCTAAGTGCTTACCAATAATTCTCCAGTGTGCAAAAAAAATCCCCAGAATAAATATTTTTGTGTTCATATTTTTGTGGTGTTTTAAGATTAAGCCCAGGCCTTGTTCACACTAACAAATGCTCCCCACTGGGCAGTAAATAGTTACTGAGCATCTATATGCCATGCAGTGTTCCAGTATTTAGGATACAGCAAGAAACAGAGTGGCTGGGGTTTGTAACATCATTTTAGAACTATATCAGAATTAAATGGAATGAGGTCATGAGCATTTGATTGTACTTCAGACTAAGTCACATTTTCACATTTGAGACGTCCGAAGGTCTGGTTTTTTTTTTTTTTTTTTTTTCTTAAGACAAGTTTCTTTTTAGCCCAGGTTAACAATTAATTGACAGTTCTGCCTTAGACTCCTAAGTGTATAAAGCTTGTTTTTTGATTCTTGGTTGTGTGATCAAAAAGTTGGTTGCCAGTCAAACCTTCAGGCTTAGCCTAGATCATACATTCTGTATACCAGTCCAGTTTAGTATGTCTACCTAACTTTAACCTGCCTGCACCATACCCAGTCTTCAGGCCTAGTCTGGGTTTCACATGCTGTGTTCCTTTCCAGTCTAGTGAGTTTCCTAGACCCTAGCCTTCCTGAACCTTCCTCAATTCCAAGACTTTACCCTATGTTGCATACCCTGTATGCTATCCAATCTGGGAATTCTTTAGAACCTCACCTCCTTATGCCACCCCCAACCTTTAGGCCTAGTAGCCTCAGGTACACGGAACAGCCTTTATATGTTTGTGTAGTCTGAAGAATGCCCACCCACACTATCTTTGCACTCCCTAGCTTAGCTCAGGTAACACAGCTTGCACATCGGCCCAAGCAGATCCAGACATTTGTCCCACTCACACACTTTGTAACCCTGAATTGGAATCACAAGTATTCCATTCAAAATCACTATCTGAAGGATTGACCAACCAGACCCACATGATCTGAAATCACCCATGATGGGGCAAAACCAAAACCTAAACCAAATTTACACTCAACAGAAGCCTAGAATTTCATTTTAGACACAACTAGCAAAAGGTGTTCACATGCCTAAGTCTTATTGCAAGAGCACAAACAATATGAAAGGTCAAGATAGCATGCTCCCCTCCCAGGAAAAAAAAATCCATCATTCCTATGAAAATGTTCTCCAATGAGAGTTACCTAGATAGACCCCCATGAGACAGCATTTAAAAGATTATGTCATCAAAGAATTAAGGGAGTTTAAAGACAACACAAATAGCTCAATGAACTTAAAGAGAATAGCAATAATGTACAATTTCAATGACATACAAAAAACATGAGAGTGGCTGAATATAACAAGAATTCAGGATATAAAAACCGAGTAAAGAAAACTCAAGCTGAAATGAAGGTGAAATTTTTTTTTCTTAAGATTTATTTGTTATGTACATAGAGTTCTGACTTCATATATGCCTGCAGGCCAGAAGAGGGCACCAAATCTCATTACAGATGGCTATAAGCCACCATGCAGTTGCTGGGAATTGAACTCAGTACCTCTGGAAGACTAGTCACTGCTCTTAACCTCTGAGCATCTCTCCAGTCCCCATGAAGATGGAATTTTAAAGTTCATGAAGTGAATTATAAGACATGGTATGGGTTAGGTAGAAAATATAATATCAGGACTTGAGGACAATGAGAAATTAGACCACCTAAGCAAAGAATATGAGGGTGTTTTGTTTTTCAAAAGAAAAAAAAAAAACCTGCAAAAAAAAGGAACATGTAGAAACTGGGACACAGTGAAATGCCAAAATCATCTAATTATAGACATTAAAGGAGAAGAATCCTGAGGCAGTGGAATAGACCAAATCTTAATAGGACCACAGAAGAAAACTCTCCCAAATGAAGGAAAGGCAGATACAAGAAGAACATAAAGAACCCCAAATTAGGACCAGAAAAGACCTCCTCCAAACATGTTGTAGTCAAAAGATTAAATCTACAGAAAAAAAAAGAGTCCCTAGTGTTGGAAGGAAAAAACCACAAGTAACATCTACAGAAAAACTCATCAGACTGTAGCAACTGATTTCCTTGATGGGAACTTCAAAATCCAGAAGAGCAATCCAGGAGCAATGTACTTCAGGTTCTAAAACACCGTAGTTGCCTCCCTAAAGCAAAAGAAAGATGCTGCAGTTGGAGAAAGAAAACTTTCCATGATGAAAACATGCTAAAAGAATCCATGTCCACCAAACCAGCTCCACAGAGAATACTGGAAGCAATACTTGGGACTGATGGGAGGAATAAGTGTAGCCAACAGACTCTAGGAAGAAAACAAATGAAGGTGTAATTACTGGAAAGAAACAGCACTAGGAACACAAATAGCAAAAGAAAAAAACAGACAAAATGATGGCAATCAATATGAAATGGCCTCAGCTTTCCAATCAGTAGACACAGGTTAGTTAAATGGATTAAGAAAATCTGTTTCTGTTGTCTACAAGATACTTCCTTACCTTGAAAGATACAAATCCTCTAAAGTGACAGGACGAGAAAGTATACCAAGCAGATGGAACTAGGAAATACACAGGTGTCTCTATTCTAGTATCTGACAAACTAGATTTCAGACTAAAATCAAGAGAGAAATAAGGACACTTTATTCTAGTCAAGAGAACAGTTAACCAAGAAGACATTATAATCCTAAACATATACACCAAACTCTGGTGGACCCACTTTCTTAAAAAGCTTGTACTAGACTTAGAGGCACAAATTAATCCCAACTCAGTAATAGATGATTTTGGTATTTTCTCCAGTAGACAGGTCATGTGGGTAAACAATTGAAACATAAATTACATCACACATCAAATAAGAGTATACCTAACAGGTGCCGCAGACTGCTCAGTGGGCAATGGGTCTGCGTGGAGAGGAGACCAAGACTCGGATGACCAGGTCAGGAGTGGCTTCAGCGTGACAGACACACACAAACACACTTGAGGAGGTTTACAACTGCTGCAATTTTTACTTTAGAGTATTAGGTTTTTATGCAGAAAGTTCAAGGAACAGATCTTTGGCCACAGTTTAAAATTTTAAAAATTTACAGACATTCTATAGAAATGTCAGCAATTCCCTTGGAGCAGGAGATCATAAAAACATCTAAGTTAAACTGCCATTGAGGTAGCTCTTTGTCCCTTTGGGGCAAATGCCCCACCCTCCCCCTCTAACTTTTTCCTTTTCCCTTCCTTGTGCTGTCTCCTGTCTTTGTCTCATTCCCTGCCCCTTGTCCCTCTGGGGCAAATAAATCTCCTTTGTGATGAGAACTTGGTCCCATGCAAGCTCTGATCCTCTCACTATGTGAAACAGCAATTTGCAACACCCTGTAATAAATGAATGTGCGATCGAGAGATGGGGGAAATGCTAGAATGGAGCGAAAAGTGTGCAACAGAGAGCCCGAACTAGAGGCTGCTGTGGCAGCAACTGCTGCAGTGGACAAAGGAGCATGTCATTGCCTAGTGGGGTCACCAGCTTGGTGTGCAACAGCCTGAAGCTCACTCAGATTCTGCCCATGAATGACCCCAGCCCCATGTTCACTCTGGCTCAGGGCAACAAGATACCCAAGGCGAACAGTTCATTTT